TTTCAAAACACACCACTTTATGTCTGCCGTCCACACTACTCCGGAGTTATTGAGACTTTTGGAAACTGCTGCTGGCCCCGTTTCAGTTCAAAAAATAGAGAGACCCTTTGGAAAAGATGACATAGACACCCACGGACGCTTGGCCAATTTAGTCTTACCAGTCACGACTACCATTGGTGAATGCGAATGACGAATTACAAGCGTTACTGACCTTGTTGTTTCTGCTAGCAGCTGTTGTGCAGTTAAATTCTGCATTTTAAGGCTACAAATGCCTTTGCTGTTCCTCGTTCATAGTATTTTGTGCAACTAATCAACTGCAGTAGTAGACTATCTGCATCCTGTTTACACCGGCTCATGCATGCCCAGTCTATGTGAAAGGTCATGTATGTGTGTGTTTTTTTAGCTGTGATAGTATGGATGGAGATCGTTTGTGATACAGAGCTAAAATGGTCGTCTGGAAGGAAATTGTTTTCATTTTAAGACACTGTTTTCAAATGAAAACGTAGTAGTGTGGACGTAGCCATACTCCTGGCCCGATGTTGGCTGTGATGCACAGTTTTATTGTTTACCAACTGAACAAACACATTTAGCCATTTTCCATTCGTTTCAGAATTTCAAGTCGGACAGAAATACCCTATAAACAATATGAATATATACTTTGCAATATTAAAGAAAAACACCTGAAAACACCGGTGTAGATGCACGTCCCTTTCACATGCAGAAGCCATTTTCAGCTTTAGCCAGCTGAGCACAGACATAGTCTGAGAAAATCAAAGTTGGGTTAAATTCGTTCCTCTTCTCCAAGAGCTGGTTTAATTTCTCATCACACCAACCATCAAAGGTTAATCCACATTAGGGTCTTTCTTGCATTCAAACTGCATCCAAGCCCATTCATTTAAAATCCCCAGTGAATGATGAAACTCAGCTGTTAGGATATATTGTCTCAGCAGTACACCCTTGTAATTCTTACCACGGCACCCTCTGGTATGCCATCACTTATAGATCAAACATGCCTGAAAGAATGTAGTCGTCTTATCCTTCCGAGATATGATAAAGGAACGTCTGTTTTTGTGGAGAACAGAAGAAGAGCACATCTCTTTGATGGACCAAAGCACCAGTTATAAAGCTTATCTCACACACACACACATACACACACACACACACACACACACACACACACACACTTACAAGCCAGCAGTCTTGCTGGGTCCTGACCATAGCACATTGATGTCTAAGGCTGCTTTCTCCTGACTGACTCCAAGGTTATTGCAGCGCACCATGGAAGCACAGGATATTTGACGGTCCCCTGCCAAAGAAAGAGCAGAGGGGGTGGGGAATGAGGGAGAGTTGCCATTGACAACTCTGAGATCTCCAAAGTGACCATCTGAAAATGAAAGAAGAGAAAACTTATTAAGAGAGAAGGGTCCAGGGGAGGCCACGGGGCTAAATCTGTCACAGCTTTTCAAGAGAGCGACAAGGGCAGTTCATGACTCCCAACAAGTATAGCTTGTACATGACCTCTACAGTTGACCTAATGAAGAATAGCCAGGCTGTTGAGAAGAAGCTAGAAGTTGGGGTGTAATCCGTAGAAGAAAGAAAATACACACAACCAGGCTTCCCAATAGAGAGTGAATCATACAGCGCAGGACAATGGAAAGAATATTGAAGTCGTCGTGGGTGAGATCTGAACCGTGCTGACTCAAGAAGAGTCCCCGGGATACGCTGTGTGTCAAATGTTCTGCACAGATGAAAAATAAACAGAGAGAAAAGACAGGAGGGAGGGGATCAGAGAGAGATGAGTAAGAAGCAAAGTCAGAGCCGGCAAAGTGTTTGAAGGGCAGCATCAGCAGAGAGATGTGGGAATTACATTCCCTCAGTTTCTGTTCTGCCAAATGTTTAATGGGGGGGGGGAGGCAAGGAGGTGTGTGTGTGTGTGTGTGTGTGTGTGTGTGTGTGTGGGGGGGGGGGGGGGGGACTCTTTTTTTTTTTTTTTTTACCCCAAAACAGGGCCTCACTCTCTTTATATTTGGTATTGTTTGTGTGCATTTCCTCCTATAGCTCGGGCAAGCTTTGCATGGAGGGCAGGAAAAAAGACAGCAGCCCGACGGCCTTTGATGTTCAGGTTTTATGGTCCCATGTCAACGCATTGTCTGTTAAGTCCTTTTGTTGTTCCTCTGCCTAATTAAGACCTCAGAGCGACTTGTTGACTCCACAAAGACCCTTGTTTGGGGAGGGGGGAGGGTGGTGGATGTGTTTCTGTGTGTTGAGCGTGTGTGTGTGTGTGTGTGTGTGTGTGTGTGTGCATGTGGGTGTGTCTGCTTTGACTGAGACGTAGCTTGAGAGACATGCTCAAAACAACACACACACACACATGCATTACCAGCCTGCGTACAAAAGCATAGGCTTTGACATAAGAATGGAGGCATTCATTTTATGTTTGAGAGCCTTTTAAGTGGAGAAGAACTTATCTCTAGCTGCAGTCACGCTCAGAGTAGCAGCAAAGAACACACACACACATGCAAACATGTAGCGCATTCTGAAACTGCATTTGTGCATGTCATTACACACAGTATATATGCTCCAGACAAGTGTGTGTAGAAGTGGCCAAGCAATCCTTTTTAGTATTTACAGAAAACATAAGAGCATTTTTTTTCTTTATCATTTGTTTGCAGTAGCACCTTATTGTTTTCAATTCCCCTTTTGTTTCTGCCATCTTCCTCTGCATCTCTTCAGCGAGAAGCATCTGGTGACGTCAGTCTTCTGTAAATCCACCTTCACACACACACACACACACACACACACACACACACACACTCACACACACACTGTCTCGCAGCTTACCAGCTTAACTTTGATGTCTCTGATACCAACAGATGGCTGAAAGGTCACCTGTCTCGGAGACATACTGTACATGAAATAGAAGACAGACAGAGAAATGGGCAGAAAAAAGAGGGAGCAAAAGAAAAGTCCTAGTCACTCAGAGGACAGGAGCTGTTTTTTTTTTTTTTTCTTTTTACAATATATTACTATTAAAAAAAAAAGAAAAACCGTAATACTGAGTGCTTTATCTCACTATGTGTTGGAATAAAGTCTGTGCATTAACAAACATACAGTTAAAGGGTTCTTCAGCATTTTAATACATTGAAAGTATAAAGGTGGACTAGCACTCGTGGTGAACACTGATGTACTGAGCACTGCACTGATTCATGCACCTTCTGACCCCCTGAAACTGATTGTGCTTAGTATTTAACTCATCTGTAGACACACACTTTGAAGATTATCTTCATAGCTAAAACGGGTATGACTCAGTGTTTACATTGTCATACTGAGTCATAGAAAAGTGTGGAGAGCCTTGAAATAATGCCTTTAAAAATGAATTCAGAATATATCATTTGTTTTAGCATTAAAACCTCTTGTCACTGGGGCCACAGGTGGGGATGTCTGTCATGCAGACAAGGAATTTCTAAAAATCATATATTGCTATTAGGGCTGAACAGTTTGCAAAAAAAACCCAATATATTGTTGTTATTATTTTGGCAGATATTGCGATATGAGTCAAGATTTCAGTTGGAATGGTCATTTTTGCATTTAATTTTTGATGAAAAAAAAAATATATATATAAATGATGATGCTATTTTTTGTTGGGTCTTGTACCAAACAAGCACGTTCTCTTACATCTGCAGAATATGATTTGTAGGCCGGGAGCGCTGTCACACCACAATGCTTCATCATGGTCTGTTGTGACACACGTTACCTTTATCAAACAAGTTGCAGCTCCTGCGATTTGGATATTGCACTTGGCCATATTGCGATTTTGATGATATTTGGATTCATTGTTTAGCCCTAATTGCTATGTAATAAATAACAAACACCAAACACTTTATAGCTTCATAATATATGATGTGATGATATGATATATGTTTTCTGAGCTTCCTCCGTGCCCTTGAAAATATAATACAACAGTATGCCTTTCTCAAATTCACATGACAGCTCTTTAATTGCTGGAGTCCTGAGAACTTTGTAACCTAAAACCTGGGTCTCTGTCTGCCTCTTTTAGGTTCTTAGACCTGATTTGTTGTAATTTGTGTGCATGTGTGTGGCTGTGACCATCCGTATCTGCGCTCACTGTTTGTGTATTTTCAGTCACTGACCACTGAAATCCAGTCACTCAACAAAATCCAAATCCGTGTTTTCTCATCATCAATTTTCACTCATCATCATACATCATCCAAACATGCTGCTGTCACACACACACACAGACATGTTTTAGCATTATCTAACAAATAAAACACATGAGCACCAGTGCATAGCACACAGAGTGCCTCCTTGAAAAAACAAACACGAGTGCGTGCCATACACTCGCTATGTATGAGTGTATGTGTGTTATTTGCATCCAGTGGTTCCTGTTTCAGTGTTTAGCTCCGTACCAGTGGGTTTTCCCTCGTGTTGACACAGATGTGCTGCTTTGAGCTGAGGGACGTGTGTTTTCTGGAGGCTCCTCTTGACGCGAACTGAGTCTGGTTTTCTTCTGTCTCACTTTGCACCAGGTTGCAGAGTCGTAATTGTGACTGATAAGGCTGGAGCAGATAGGGAGCGGGGGTTAATCTGCGTTGACACATATCTCTGTAGGTTAAATGTGTATGTTTGTGTACATGAATGCACAAACCTGTCGACATGTGTGTGCTCGCCTGTCAGGGGCCACATGTGTTTTCCTGTTGCGTGGTACACACATTCTCCAGCGATGTTTGAGTGCACCTAGGAGCAATTAGACTTGGCTTGGAGCATGCAGCCTTCTTTCTCTTTTGGTGTTTTTTTCTTTTACTACCCAGTTTGTCCATATATAAACATATATAAAGCGCCATGAGGCATGAAACAGACAGTTAACAGGTAACAGTTCAGTCCAAAACAAGCCGCTTAACATTTCACCTCAAGGAAACATCTGTAGACTTAACCATCAGTGTTTTTCCTTTGGACTGAATTAGTCTCCCTTTCTGTCACAGGTTGTCCCATGCCCAGAGATCCGCAGTAAAAGTTCTTCGCAGAATGCAGTACTTTGTGGCCAGGAAGAAATTTCAGGTAAGCAAAAGGAAATCCAGAGGAGGAGAGAGAAACACCGCAGAGTTGGGAGACGTAGAAATAAAGAGAGAGACAGGTTGAGAGTGAGAGAAGTGTGTTGTGTGTGTGTGTGTAGTGTGTGTGTGTGTGTGTGTGGGGGGGTTATACAGGAAGAGGAGGGGGAGCCCCAGAGGCATATATCAGCTGCCGCGCTGCTGTGCATGTGCATGTGTGTGCGTGCGTGTTTGTGTGTAAATGCCTGGAACTTGCACCTGCATGTCTTCTTTGTGCTCACTTCAGTTCAGGCGTAGTATCATGGGAAATCTACTAACCTGTCTCTGGGGCTACAGTAGGAATTCACTTACTGCACTGCACACACACACAAGAACACACACACACACACACACACAGCGGGACATGGCGTCACTTAGCACTGAAGTCAGCAGAAATCTGTGAAAAAGTTTTTGTGCAGTAAAATACTTGAGTTAACAAAACATAATCATGTTTGAGATACTTCGCCATCATTTTCATGCTACATGTTATTGCAGAATGGTTCCTATATTCTTACTGTCTCCAAGTGTTCTATATGTTTTCAATTATGGCCTAAGTGATCTCAGCTGCAGAGGCTATACTTTGTGTATACCAAGGATACCCTAAAGAGTTCACTGGGTTCTTTCTGATGCCGCTTGTATCAACGTTACACTGAACAAAGCTGTGAAAGGACCTTAACACGATTGCTTTCTACATGACCATGCACTTGTCGGTACACACACACACACACACACACACACACACACACATACACACACACACACATACACACATACACACAATGCGTTAACAATGAACTCTTTGCACCCAAGGGGGTTGGGGATGTTTTCGGGGCCCAAGCAACAGAGGCCATGGTTGACAATGGCTTTTGTGTCCCTGTGTGTGTGTGTGTGTGTGTGTGTGTGTGTGTGTGTGTGTGTGTGTGTGTGTGTGTGTGTGTGTGTGTGTGTGCGCACTCGTGGATCCACAGCAAGCACGGAAGCCCTATGACGTGCGAGACGTGATCGAGCAGTATTCCCAGGGTCACCTGAACATGATGGTCCGCATCAAGGAGCTACAGAGAAGGTGGCGTCTTTGATCTTGTTTCTGTTTCTCCTTCTGTCTCCAACTTTTTTGTCCATGTTCTTTTGCGCCATCATGTTGGAAACCACCTCATAGTCAAAGAAGTCAGAATGAAAAACATTGCTTCTCATTTTCAAGTTAAATCTTCAATCTTCATTTGGGCCGTGTTTTTCGCCCAAGTGTCACATTGTGCCATGAACATTTGTGTTTCTTTTTGTCTGGCCCAATGACAGCCAGTGGTCTTGCCCTTAACTAAGCTGTACTGACGTCAGGTCAAATGAAGACAACAGGAGGATAGATGGCTCCATTACACATGTCCCTATTCAGTTTACAGTTATTATGCAACTCTTAACAGTTTCTGTCAGTCGGACCTTTATCATGCTCCTGCAGTACACTTTGTTACTGTTCTTACTGTTCATCTGACCGACAGGAGCCTCACTGGTCTCTGATTTGTTACACCTTGTGCTTTGTTGAGCTCTAATCAATTTCAGTCGTCACTAAAGAAAAATCTTTTGTCCTTTTGTCCATTTGAAGTGATTTTCTGTCTTCCAACCACACAAGGCTCTCCCATGAAGGAGGTCAGTTAGATAATAAATTGGGTCAAACTTATGTAAGTGTGTCACCTGGACCTCATTACACCTTTTGCAGTAATTCAGCTGAACCATGGTAATGCACTGTGAAATTTTTAAACCATGTATCAGTAAATCAACAAAAGAATGATTTTTTCCTTTTTTGACTCTTGAATTAGATTTATTCTAAAAGCTTCAATACTAAGAAACATAGAGTCAAGAATCTTTTATAGTAACAATTCTAGTAAATTCAACGTTTTTCATAAAACCCGAGTCGTTTAGTAACCATAGAAAAAGAGATTTAAACTAAAACCTAAAATTTAACAGAAAAGAAAAGCAAGGAAAGAGACAACATCACAGTACGGGCCACATCTGACTTTTCCAATAACGCAGTGGCCGCTTTGCATCAAATGGGGTCACCAGCATAAATGAAGGATAATTAAAGACATATGATTGCAGTGATAAAAATCCACCCTCAATTTAAGGTGATGAAAAGAAGAGAGTGGCTTTACAATGTGTACCGAAATGCCTCCCCTGCTTTGGTAGATTTATAGTCGACTAACGGTCCACATGGGCAAGTGAAACCTCTCAAACTCTTACTGTTTATTTTCAAAGCTTGACATCTCAATATTGCATTCATTAATCCGCCCATTAAAACTTGCATGTGGGTTTTTCTAAAAGCAATGTCCGTGCTGTTCAAGCTGACGCCATTTGTTTAGTTTTATTGGCACTTTACTAAATTGGCTTATATTATTTGACTGTTTGGTTCATGAGCTGGAATGAAGCGCTGGCCTGTGTTTTTACCTTTCCCAGTCTAATTTCTTTTGTCTCTTACTCCTAGGCTGGACGGCACGCTGGGGAAGCCAGGAATGTTTCTTCCAGGTAAATACACAGCGCAACACAACAGTCACAATAGACAGCCATCACTCCTCAGTCCATCCCTGTGTTTATAACTCACACATACACGAGCTGTGCCAGACTAAATAAGAGAGAAAGAGATGGTCCCTGATGTGTACGCATATCTCTCTGTTTGGATGTGGGTATGTTTACGTGTGCTGCTTGTTTTGCTGTGTATATAGGCATGTGTTAGCTGGCGTGTGTGGATGTACATTTGTTTTGAATTCATAGAGAAAATCAGTAATAAGTTAATAGGAATTAATCATTTACTTATCTGCTTATTAAGTAGATAACCGCCATCAAGTTGTTGATAAGTAATTTTTTTTTTTATTATTTCTCCATTTGTTAATGACACAAATATTTATTATTCATGAAAAAAGGATCTAAGCATTATGTTGGTCTTGTTATAAATTGCAACTGATGATAACTATGTTTAGTAAACAGTTAAAGGTCTCATATTTTACACTTTTCCAGTGTTTTATTTAAGGTTTTGATATCCATAAGAAGATATACAATATTTGTGGTTTTAAGTACCAAAAACCATCTCAATGTACAGTGCCAGTCAAAATTTTACATCTCCCTTCTCATTCCTTAGGAAAAGGGGAAGATAAGGAATACCCAACTATTGGAGCACGACTGATCAGGCTAGAAGATAAGGTAGGCACACTCCTGCTGCTGCTCTGTGTGTGTGTGTGTGTGTGTGTGTGTGTGTGTGTGTGTTTTGTAAGAGAGATAAAAATGATTAGATTACGCCCGGTGTTCATGAGCAGAAGCATGTGAGTGACTGCGTAACTGTGTGTCTGTGTGTGTGAGTGTGACTCGGCCTGCTTGTGTCTCTGTTATCAGATGAATGCGTGTGGTGGAATCTTTTGATAAGACCCATGTTGTGGCTGGGTTCAGTCAATCTGTGCCAAGGTCAAACACACACCTCCTGTCTATGCTCCACCTTATCATCATCTCTTCAGTGTTTTTGTTGCACTTACATTCTGGTTCATTCTGTTTTTTTTTTTTCTTTACTATTATTCAGGGAGGGGTCATTTTCATCATTTTCCATGCCAGCCCTTCTTATTTTTTTTTCCTGTCATTACAGATAGGTTAGTTGGATATTTATGTTTCCATCAGGGATTATTAGAGAAGTGCTGGCATTGGGGAGGGGGGGGCGCTAAAGAAAAAAAAGTCTTTATGCAGTGAGGCATAGCCAAAAGGCAACAGCTGTGTTATGAAGCCCACGGGTATAACGAGGCGTGTCCTGTCTCATAGAGGAACGGGCACAACGTGATGCCAGCATGATGCCGACTCTGGTACCAGTGTGATGCCAAGATACACATTTCCCCTGTGGGGACTGTTGTACCAGTTGGACCGGTGTGTGAATGTGTCTGCCTTCCTGTCTGTCTCTGTGTCTGTCCGTGTGCAAATCAGAGGGTATGAATTAACATGTGTTTGTTCGTTTTGGTGTGTGGATACATCTGCTGTCTGTTTGTCTGACCGGTGGCATCGCTTTTGTGCATTTGGAAAAAGTTTGGAAATGCGTTTTTGTGCGCTCAAGCATGCTTTTTTTTTTTTTTTTTCTTCATGAAACCGGTATTTAAAGCGGGTTGCTGACCTTATAGTCAAGTTGTTCTCGCATCTTACAGTAAATAAAAAACTCCTATACAATAGAACAATGCATTCTGCAGCCACTTCTTTTTCTATTCTAAGTCAGCCAGCTCAGGATTTCCCCCACTTTGCCTCAACATTTACCTTCCCATCTCTGTGTGTGCTCATCAACACTGATGTTCTCTAACGTTTGCATGCGTTTGCTGTTTTCAGATCCCTTTGTTACAGAGAGAGGAGTAATGATCTTGAACCAATGTACGCTCTGAGCCTAAAGACCTCCCTCTGTGATTGAGTTCCAGCCCATTTGCTCTGGGCTGCATGTTGTGATCGTAATCTCTTGATTGGAAACATAAACCTGCGTTCAGTCGTGCCTCTCCTACCTATGACTCTCGTTCTCTCTCCCTCTCTCTCTCTCTCTCTCTCCCACTCTTTTCTCTCTTTCACTTCTTCCTTCTCCTCGCTCTGCCTTGACATTAAGGCAAAATAAAACTGAGAGGTGGGTAATTGGTAAACAAATCAGTGGAACCCCACTGATACAGGCCGCTTTTCCCTCCTTAAACAATGTGGAACCAATCACCGTTCCCCTAATCAGAGCTACGCATTGCTGCAACAAGCAACCTCTTAAGGTGGAACAGAGGAGTGCCAATAGCCGCCCATCCTTCATAATTACTGTTTTTCTCACCTCTGCGCCTGCCCTCTTCCCGTCTCTCCTTTCTGGTCGTGTGAATTTCTCGTTTTGATGGTTCTGACGGGCCGGCACACCTGTTATATGGAAAAGGGGGCTTCCTTTTCCCCTCAGGCAGCAGGTGAATGAACCCATCGACCCTCGTTACTTGGTGCATTCCCTTGTCCTCCTCCAGATAGACCTGCACTTTGCAAATATTATTGTCTAGTCTAGATAAACTAAATATGTCAGCTTTGTATTTCTGAAAGGTGCTGATTATGTAATTAAATTCATAGTATAATTAATCTCGGCCGATTTTCATACCTGTGTTGCAGTAACTATAGAATACCTCGTCCAAACATAACGCTCAAGCTGAATCCACAATGCTTGTAGTTTACAGGAGGTGCGTAATGAGATAAAATACACCACGGATGAAGTTCGTTGTTGCCCCTGAGTTCTGTTGTCAATTGTTTGCAAACCGAATCTCCGGCGCTGTCACTGTTGTTTGTCTCGCATCGCTGCCTGTATTTCATAACGTTGTGTAATTTTCTGGCCTGCGTCACCTTCCCTCCTGCATGTTGTTCATAATAGTAAACCTAATCACACAGCCCTGGTGTCACAGTTGAATCACTTCTGAATAGGATCTTGCCCAACAGCCCTGAGGAATTATTCATCAACTCCGTGCCCTCATGTTTGTGTGTTTGGGTTCGTGTGTGCATAAGAGTGTGTTCCCATGCCTTTTTCAATACTCGCTCTTCTTGGCCTCCAGCTAATTTTTTTTTTTTTTTGACAAATTCCAATTTCCCTGTAAAACACCAGACATGGACCGGTCTGGCTTTTTTTGTCGCAGCAGAGTGAGTAAGATAGAATCATTTTCTTGTCCAACCATTGTCAGCACATCACTTGTAGATGAATTTATCTTTAGTGGGCTGACGGAGGCTCAGGCATTGTGTGTCCTGTACCGGGTCAGACAGTGATTTATCACACACAGACAAAGACACATATAGTTCTACACACACACATACACTCGCACACACATGAGCATAGAGTCGATTAATCACCAGTGTGTCTAACCCCACACTCTCGAGATTGAATTCTCCAGGAGCGACTTGGAAACGAAGATGGATGGCACTCTGTGACAGTGTGTTATCTTTCTGTCAGACGCACTCGATGAAAAATACCCAAACGACAAGCTCAAACAGTGGCCAGTGTCTCTGAGCGTCAGCGTGGCCTTTCAGAAAGGAGCTCGCTGCATGCTTTAGGATGAAGACAGGCCCGCTGCTTGTGGTAAATCTCTCCCAGTTTTATAGGAACAGGATTTTTTCTCATAGCAATAGACAGAAAGGGCAGTGAAATTACAACAATATGCTTTCACACAGCCTGTAAATGTCTGTCTGAAAAACAAGCTTTTGCTTTTTTTAGTCTGACCCTATTTTTTGTCTCAGCGATTTAACAATATTGTGAAGTGTTGTGCAGCAACTTAAGGCTGAAGTTAGTGTGTAGAGCTGAAGGGAGCAGCCTTTAATTATGGAGGAAGAGAAATTTGTTTTGTTCGACGTTGAAAGATTTTCACAAGGTTGAAAAAATATTAGTCCACACTAAACCTTCTAAAAGGTCAAATATTATGTCAATTTTTATTTTCTGGAATTAGATTAATTATAGTAGAATGTTATTAAATATAATTAATGACTGAATTAAATAAGTCGTTCAAAATAGTCCTTCAAAATATATTTTGAAAAAACAGAAAACAGAAGATATTAAAAAATACTTTATGTCAAGACTTATATTATGAATTTTATCTGTTAAATTTAATGTGCTTGGAATTATCTGTTACAAAATAAAAAAATACCAGAATCTGATGGTAACTTTAACTAGAAATTACAGGAAGCCGTCTCTGTTTTTTTTCTCTTGATTTACTCAAATTTAAGTCAGTGTTAAAACTGTATATGAAAAAATTGTATTTGCTAATTGTTGCATATATACATAAAAGTATAAAAAATACTTTCAAAGACAAGCCTGTTGCACCGTATAGCTCAATTTCAAAAAATGCTTTTTTCAGTGTGGTTAAAAAAAAAATCATGGTTCAGCAGCAAGTGTGCAGTTATTCTGATTTTGTTCCACAGTCAATATTCAGTCCATCATAATGTGAAATGTCATTAAAGCAGTAATCAGTTGAATTTGGAAACTGCAGAAAGTCGGTGGGTGTAAAACCATCAGCAGTGTCTAGCGGGGAAAACATCCTCTAATGTGCCCTCCAGACCTGCACAGACACGTCTCTGCTCAGCACATCATTATTTGTGTTGCTCTAAGTGCGCTACATGGACCATAGATCACACTCACTCTGTGGTTAACTTCACTCCGCTATATTAGGGCAAATATACTGTTCTGTGTATGTCACGCTTATATCATGTGCATTAGCACCAGGCGTACGCAGAAGAATGCCATGCCCTGAACTTAATAGCATCTCAATTAGGTAAGTATGCTGTAAATTACAGCAAGGCCAAATACTGGGAATACTTGAGGGCCGAGACAGAGTGTTGTGTTTGTTAGGAGTCCATCTGTAAGGCATTTAGGGCCCCTCGTCTCTAAAAGCATGGCTTTGAGGGGGGCAGGAGTATGTGTGCATCAGTGTGTGTGTGTGTTTAGACTGGTCCAATCCAGACCCAGCTGAGGGCTTAAGAGATGAGGGCCTGGTAAACATACACGCACACATATACATATTTATACATTAGACCATATACAAAAATACAAGTGGATATCCAGACACGCATAAATATACAAATGCAGTCACACACACAAACACGGACACACACTCACACAGTGTTGTCCATTCAGCAGTGCCTCAGCTCCGCTCTCAGCAGTGCTGCAGCAAACAGGAACAGCTTCATTATCTCCTCTGCCAGCACAGGATGGGCTAGAGACTGAACAGCTGGGGGCAAGCAGAGGAGGAAAATGCATTTCAAGCTTTAAATCTATTAATGATCTGCAGCGTTTGCATCAATAAATGTGTTGTATCCAATGTTTTCCTTAGTTTTGGATATTAGCTACTGGGACAAGTTAAGCCCACATCACTAGGAATCCCTTTTTGGTGCCCAGTGTCTGTGCAGATAATTGTGATGTTATCTTCTCCACAAAAACTTTGAATTTTACAATCACAGCAAAATTATTTCAAAGAAATTAAAGACTAGAGGGAATATTTGCTTTTAACTCAAAAACAGTAATACTGTTATAACAGCACGTCATCGACCACATACAGAGATATGAAAGGTTTTAAAGGAGGGATTTATACATTTTTGGACTTCAGCGAGGTTCCCACTGTTCTTATGTCATGCTCCATTGGATTTTTTGAGAGAATGGCTGTTTTTCAGCCTATTTAAGCTCACTGGAAAGATTCAGA